ATATAGGGGCCTTAAGAATGAGAATAGGGTTTCGGGTCCCATTATACTATAATTATTGGTAATTATGTAGGCCCCTACATTACTAGAATTTGTGGTTATTATAGGATCCTCATTAATTGGGTTCAGGTTTTGAGGAAAGAGGACGGGGGAGGGGATAAAGGAAGAGTGTTGGGGCAGTTAGGCCGTAGGCGATGGGATCAAGCGCAAGCGACTTGCCAAATAGGTTGTTGGGTGCAAAGTACTTGAATAAAGTTATGTGTGTATGTACAGAGTTGACATCAGCACCTTTGGCTGTGCTTTTGTCGTCAATGCTTATTGAGGCTCCGGTATATTTTCTGATGCTGAACTTAATCCGCAGGCCCGACATTTACGGGTGCGGAAGCCGTAAGCCATTCGACTGCGCGGCTACACGCGGTAATCTTAGAATCTGCAACCTTGCAAGCCTGGCGCTGGCAGATTGTTGGGTTTGGCCCTCACCACCATATCCGAACACTGCTCACGCAAACGCAGGAAGCAGATTGGTAGTTGGAGAATGCAGCAGTCATGGCTGGCTAATTCCAGCATCCACGTGAGAAACACCCACGACAGCAGCAGCTTCTGCATCATCATCATCATCACCATCATCATCATCATCATCATCATCGTCATCGTCACTCCGTCATCATCATCATCATCATCATCATTCAGAACTGGTTTGCCGAAACTTCTGTTCTTATGCAGTAGTGGTGTCTGAAGCTGCCAGGTCTTCGCACGAAGATTTGCCGTCACCGGATGGGGGCTACCCTTCGGACTTCACCTGGTGCAACAAGGCACGCGGCAGTTTATTCAGGGAGGAAGCGGAGGAAGTGGGGTCTGCTAGTCATCCCATCGGCTGTCCTTCTGGGGCGTAAAAGCCGCTGCTCGTCAGTAATGTTCGAGACAGGGGCTGATGCGGTGCGTATCATGTTCCTCAGCCGTTCCAGTAGCAGCCCATGTGCGTGCAGCTGTTGTTGTGAGAAATTCGTACAGGTCCTAGGGCCTAGGGTCTGCGGCAGGTACTTGATGAACCGGCAAAACACGCCTCCATGTGTTGGCCTTTTCATCATGCAGCATGTAATAACTACTCCTGAAGCCCTGTAGACTCTGTAGACGGTCCACGCCTTCATGCGTACCCAAGAAGGACATGCCCCCTCACCCGACGCTTCAAGCTATGTAGTAGGGCCCTTAAGGTCCTCGGAAGCCCAGGGGGGGGCTTTCTGGTCTCTGGTCTAAGTCTAGATTCTGGGTCCAATTTAGAGGTCGGAATAATTAGTAACAATACTCCGTACTACTGTTATACTTGCATTATGCTATCAAAATAACTCAGCACCCTGTGCTATTTCTGGTTTTGGGATTTGTACGGTGCAAGTGCAGAGTTTTGGGTCGAGGGTCGAAAGGCTTTTATCCCCAGCCGCAGCAGTCTAAACACGCTTTGCCCGGATGGGTCGGAGGACGGCGTGAACTACTGCACCATCTCGCTGAATCAGCACATCCCACAGTGCCCAGACGGGATTCTGTAACCCGGGCTTCAGGGCTTCGGGCCCATAAGAGAAAACGGATTCAAGTGAAGCTTCAGCCTCCATGGTGCTTTCCCTGCCCACCTTTGGCAGACTGTGGCCTGTTCTGGGGACCTACACATGGTCGCTGCTCCTGCAACAACTTATTCCTCCCTGGTTCCTGAAAGTCGGCCTCTAGGTAGCAAGGGCAACGTGAATCAAGCAGAAGTCCGCAAGGTCCTGGAGTCCAGATCGCTTCTACGAAGCCCTTCACGATGCAGTTCGAAATAATTATGGGTTCTGAAGATCCAAACCCGAAAGACCCGACGACCATCGAAGACATAATGACCCCACTGTAGTAATCCCGATCGATAGCACCCTTCACAGTAATTAAGCATTACAGTAACCCCCAAAACCTGAAGAGGTACTGTGGTTCCTGCTGGGCTCACGGCGCCACATCTGCCCTAGCGGATCGCATCAAGACTCTCGGACGGGTTTAGGTTGAGAGTTTGAGGTTTAGGGTTAAGGGTTTTCTGAGGGGTTTCCGGCTTGTTGTTGATGTCTCCAGGATTCCGGCACAGTCTTACGGGACTGGGTATGGGAATCCAACATTCCTACATGTAAAATTCCTTTCGGCGTAGCAGCATCGTCCTCAACTTGCGATTCAGCTTGACCCTAAACCCGACAGTAAGGCTAAAATATACTTCTGACGCAGACATGCTGAGGAAGTTCTGACGGGATGCAGGCAATCCGAGGCTCGAGGTTGCAAGGTACCGTTGCAGGGATCATTGCATGGCCTTTCCCGGGAAGCGTTATATCGACCCATATCGATCTCCAGCCTTTATGCGTGTCCTCGTACGCTACTTTCCTGTGCAGACTAGAGGATTTCGGTTTCGAAGCCCATCTGCCAAACTTTGCTCCGGGATCAGAGAAAAGAAAGCTTCCTGTAAGAACCTAGATCCAACAAGATCTCAAGGAGGATGGTGGAGAGACCTTATACCCCTCCTCGAAGCACTTTGACTCTTAACCTCAATTCAAGAAAACTTGGATGATTTCAGGATTGCCCGAAAGGCAAAGGGCGCGGATGTCCAGCTTTCCGTGCAGCACATGCTGAACTGTGGGAATGTCGGCTCTTGTCCGCCTTGCATCGCTTGGCAGTTTGTGACTTCAGTTCCGAGGTTCCCTTGGAAGGGGCCCCATTATAGAATCTAGAACCCTATAGTACCCGTTAAAAGGACCCGATTATAGAACCCTATTGTACCCTTTAAAGGGACCTATAGAACCCTATAGTACCCGTTAAAAGGACCCGATTATAGAACCCTATTGTACCCTTTAAAGGGACCTATAGAACCCTATAGTACCCTTTCAAGACCCAGTTCTAATTGTGATGGCCACTTTTTTGAAGTCGCATGTCTCATGTGTTATTCCTTGGGCCATTGCATTGGGTGCTTGAGAGGTTTCCATCAGAGCAGAAGCCGCACGAGATGTCGAGGACATTCCAAGCTTTCTACGTGATCCTGTCTAAAGACTTCATCCCTTTGAGCCGTAGACTTGCGCTGCTATGACGGTATCGGTATACGTAGGGTTTAGGGCCGGTTAGGGCTAAAGCTGTATTCTAAAAAAAGCCCCAAACCCTAAACCCAAAAACCCCAAACCCTTAAACCCAGAAACCCCAAAACCCTAAACCCCAACCCTAAACCCCAAAACCCCAAACCCTAAACCCCAAAGCCCCAAACCCTAAACCCCAAAACACCAAACCCTAAAGCCCAAAACCCTAAAGCCCAAAGCCCCCAAACGCTAAACCCGACTCTGAATCCGACTCTAAATCATCAAGGCCTCCATCGGGTTCTGGAAGGCCCAGAGTTTGTGGTATCGACGAAATGCCAGGCCACGGTGGCACCGTGGACGGCCCCTACCAGTGGATCTACAAGCCCCTTGGGCGTCAACTTTCCAAGGTTTGCGTTTGAGGGTTTAGGGCTTAGGGATTTAGGGTATAATTGCAAGAATTTCTAACTTTAGCACAGTAGTATACTTATACAAAGACCTTGGTTCACGCTCCAAGGCCCCCCCTTTATTGCAAGTTTCCAGGTTCTTCTCTGTGGCATGCAGCTCGCGTACCCCAAGGCCTAAGTATGTACTACATGGGCACATGGAGCCTTAGGCATATCTGCAAAGCGTGCTCGGACCGTTTCGGTCGGGGGGCAGGGTTTGCGGTCCGTTTGGGTTGGGGCTTCGGGGTTATAGATCACATTTATGGGGTTTAGGGTTTCGTGATGTTTCGGGTCATCTTTAGAGGCTGTTTTGCCCCTTGAGAGGTTCAGGCTTGGCGGGAGGTGAAGCTTCTCGAAATTGAGTTTCCAGGCTGGGCAAGCGCACTGGCAGCGGCATCTCCTACTTTACCTCCCAGCAGCCCGGCTTTGACAGTGTGGAAGACATGGTATGCAGGAGGTTAAGAAATGATAGCACTACACCATGATGAATCCATCATGAACCATCCGCGATCACATCGAAAGCTTCTGTGGTTGCAGTATACTCTGTGACTCTTTACACGCAGCCCAAAAAATGTGTCTTGATTCGACTTGCTTTCAATTATGCGCATAAGAAGTTGAGGAAGCCATTTGCGAAATGCAGCTGCTCCTACGAGAAGTGAGTTTGAGGTTTTTCTGTCCTTCAGGGAAGACTTGGCATTCGTGAGCATCATCGGGTCAAGCATATGCGGCCACCGCAGGGTTTATGTCGTAGGATTGGCCCTGACTGTGAACACTTTGCGACTAGAACTAGTATAGCGTTCCTAGTAAGCAGTAAACTAGGCGACAGGAGAAGTAGTGCAGTAGCCGTAGCAGGAGCAGAAGGAGCTGGAGCTGGAGCAGGAGCAGGAGCAGGAGCAGCAGCAGCAGCAGCAGCAGCAGCAGCAGCAGCAGAAGTAGCAGTAGCAGTAGAAGCCATGGTGCTGCTAGTCGTCGTCCTCCTCGTAGTCCTAGCGTTGTGTGGTCGTGGTAGTCGTCGTCGAAAGACTGGTATGTAGCAGGAGACGAGGAGGAGGGGCAGGAGGATTCGGCAGCTTCTTGTTGACAGCAGTAGTCGTACCAGAGCAGCAGTGGTAGTCGCGCGATCTTTTCCCATCACAAGTATGACGATCCCTTAGCCAAAAGTGTGCAGGCCATACTTGGCATGCTCCAGTGAAAGCCGAGCCTTGTCTTGTAAAGATCGCAGAGGCTCTTTCGCTTTAGGGGCTTTTCCTGAGTCTGAGGATTCAGGACTTCGGGTGTTTAGGTTTGACGGCATGGCTTGGGATTTAGGATTGGGGCTTCATGGACGGGGTAGTCCTGCCACGGGGCCTCTAGTACTCCTCGAGACTGCTGAAAGCTTCAGATTGCGGAGCTGGCTCTTTGCTTTCATGCGTTGCCTTCATGAACTGCAAAAGTGCGTTGCTGGTCGTTTTGCGTGTGGTGGCATGCTGTCTTGGACACATGTTGGATGAGATTGCGATTGCTTTCGGGCTTCCAGTCTGAAATGAGCTTGCAGCCCAGGCGATGGCATCTGCAAGAACGCGGACACGAGCTGCAAAGCCGAGAACATCGCACGTACCTGCAGCACCTTCGGGAAGCCCTGCGTTGGACTGAGCAGCTATCCGAACGCCACCGTTTCGGACTATGGATCGATCATGGGCAAGGTGGGCTCCAATTTCCAATGCTAACTCTTCTCCCTGAACATGTACTTTCAAGGGGTCTCCGCCGAAAGGATCCTACTAATTCGGGTGCATCTTGTCGACATGACCTGGCCAAGCCGCCTCATGATTTCTTCAGCCCCTGAAAGCCAGCCCGATGTTCGGAATCCTTCGAGTGCAGATGAAATCGTAGAGCTCTGACCTCCCTGAGCACGAAGCCCTAGCACCCTGAGGTAGGGGTCTTAATCATTGCCAAAGCTACTCTAGTTGAGCTTAGTAGGAAAATCTTACCAGGACATACCCCCAACTTCCTAAGGCCCCCTATATCCTAGAACCGTATAGAACCCTAAACCCTAAACCCTAAATAACCCGGAAAAACTGACGGCCCTGGCCCAGAATGCCATGATGAAAGAGATCTACAACAGAGGGCCCATCTCCTGCGGCATTGACGCCAATCCGCTGCTTCCTGGGCCTTGATGATTACCTCGTATCGATTCTTGAAGGGGTTTAGGGTTTAGGGTTTAGGGTTTAGGATTCTTGAGGAGGGGTTCTATAAGGGTTCCACAAGGGTTCTAGAATATCGGGGGCTTTAATATGATGGTTAGAAGAGGCTTTTGGGGGGTTGATTATACGACTATCACAGGGAAACGCTGAGGATGTGCACAAGGTGAAGCAGCCCCAAACCGTGCAGAAAAGTCTCCGAACATAGGGGCCTTAATAATTACCTATACTATTTTTGGTACGTTCCAACCGGGACCTTGCACCGCCTGAAATAAATATACTTTTTATTTTGGGAGGGGGGGGTCCTTATCATAATTATAGTATAATGGGCCGCGAAACCCTATTCTAATTTTTAAGGCCCCTATGTTAGCTCCCAGCACTCTCTTCGACCTCATACTCCTCGGCTTGTGTGTGGTCTCCCGCAGGGAAAGAAACCCCAACCCCGAATTGGGAGTCTCCGAAAATTAGGGGTACCTTATTTTGGGGTCCTGATAATAGGGATCCTATTATTTAGGGTCCTATATTAGGGTCCCCTATTTTCGGAAACCCCGAATTTGGAGTTGTCAGGTGATGATGGCAATGAGAATCGTGGTAGTGGACACTGGCCATGATGATGGTGGTGAACGCTATCATGACCTTGATAACCGCTGTGATCATTACGATTGGATCACCGCCGTCATAGTTTGTCAGAGTCCCCGTCATCTTCATCACTGCTACTACTGCTTGTCTCATAGTCCACGCGGCAGTCGTCGCCCTCCAAAGCTGTAGAAGCCTTGCTCTTAGTCCTTGCAGAACCTTTGGAGCCCCTGTCGTGTTGACCGTGTCATGCCCTATAACTACCCATAGGCCCTAAAGTGGTTCCTTTTTGTGCTTTGTATTTAGGATCCTGTTCGGTAATCCCAAACAAGGAACTACTATGGGGCCTATAGACTCGGAGAATAAGCCGCGATCATCCCTGATGCGACCAGGCTGAAGTACACCACGGGGATCGTCCGGGGCTGGTCGCTCATGCAACTTTGTCATAGTTGGGTAACATTTTACATTTTTAAAGGTACTTAAACCCAATAATAATATAAATTTACATTTTTATTTTACATTTTTAAAGGTACTTAAACCCAATAAGGAATATAAATGTAAATTCCCAATAAGGAATATAAATGTAAATTTTTAATACTACCCCAAGCATGAACTAGGCAAGACCACGTCATCTCAGTGGTCGGATGGGGCACTGATCCAGAGGAAGGTCTCTACTGGAAGCTTGCCTTTATTTTAGGAGTTCTTCGTATTACCCATAGGCCCCATAGTAGTTCCGTTTTGGGGTGAACCCCAAAAAGGAACTACGGTAAGTGTCCGCAGACCTGTTGAAGTTTGACTTTGTCATCTGTCACCGCCGCCAGGAGCTCAACCCCCCCCTCACCTGCTGTTTAGAAGGGCTGGCCAGTAAACTTTCAGACCCTGAAGCAATCAAATCCTAAACCCCAAGTTCTGTAGAAGCCTGCGTCCAAACTGTCGGCTCGAGAGGCTTGGTGTAAAGTTAGGAGTTGCGCGTCAGGGTTGAGGGTGCCTGGGGACGAGGATTTCGACTTTCGAGTTTGGGGTTCAGGGATTTGGGGTTCTTCAAACGATGCTGCTGGAAGCCGCAGCTGATCCTAGCCTGAACCCTTTAAAGATTCGAGTTTAGGATGTCGGGTTCAGCATTTAGGGTTTTAGGGTGTAGGGGATTTAGGGCTTTAGGCTTTTAGGGTGCTTAGGGGCATACGTAGACTCTCAACCAGCCTCTGCTAAACGCCAAAAAAACTCAGTGAGTCCTCTGCTGATGGTGTTTCGGGGATCGCGGATAGGTTTAACCCCAACCCTCCAGGTACCTACTAAGAATGGCCCTAGAGGCTCTAGTACCCTCTACAGTCGGTACCTGTAGGGTTAGGGTAAGGCTTACAGAGGGTTCTGGAGATGATGGGCTGGGAGCTGTTGAGAGTCTTAATGAACCCGCCATCTGCTACTCCGAAGTATTCAGAGAGAGACGCCAAACGTCAAGAGCTCGAAGACGAGACTGCTAAACTCCCAAACCCTGAACCGCAATACCCCTAATCCCTCAGGCTCTATAGAGCCAAAGCCCTAAGCTACCCTAAACCCTGAACCCTGAACCCTAAACCCTGGAACCCTTAACCCCGAACCCTGAACCCAATACCCTAAACCCTGGAACCCTGAACCCTGAACCCTAAACCCTGAACCCTAAACCTTGAACCCTAAACCCTAGACCCTATACCTACACCCTAAACCCTGAATCCTGAACCCTAAAGCCTAAACCCTGAACGTTATAAACCCTAAACCCTGAACCCTAAACCTACACCCTAAACCCTGAACCCTAAACCCTGAACCCTGAACCCTAAACCCTAAACCCTAAACCCTAAACTCCGGCCCTGAGCCTTCCCCCTGAATCCACCGGAGCATGGCCGAGGATTGTCCGCAACAGCTGGGGTGAGACGCTTGGCCCCTGCTGAATATAGGGGCCTAAAGAATTACCAATACGGTTTTGGGGGGCTCCTTATTACAATTATGGTATGCTATGCCCCAAAATATATTAAAATTCTTAAAGCCCCCGTATTAGGTTTAGCTTGGGCTGTCGGGCTTGGAGGGCTGAAGGGGCTGGCTGTTTGGGGAAGTTTAGCAACTTTTCAACACATGCCCAGAGACCATAAGTACGTTCCTGTCTCGTGCAGCCTGCAACAATTACTGCTTCTAGACTCTATTCTGAGAGTCTACAATTCTAGTTATTCTAGTTTCATCAGAACAGTCTGCTCGTGATCACTGGTGGTTTCTTCTGAGGTACTGGGGTGAGGACGGATACGTGCGCGTCAAGAGTGGTGCTTTGGCGCTGGAGCGCAGCTGCACGTGGGCAGTGCCCGGCGAGCGCCTTGGGCAGCAAAGCTTGTCTTGCAGGGTCCAAGGATCAAATCCGCGGGTGTTTGCATTGTCTACTCCACCATGCAAACTCCAACCCAAAACCCTACCCCGTGAGCTTGAATCCATCAGAAGCTCAAGCCGTGGATCTCTCCCCAAATTGGAGATTGCGGAGGCCGGTCTTCCGATCAGACGATCACATGTTCGGGAGTTTCGGGCTTGTAAATAACTACGCAGAAGCTTATATAAATTACCTATACTAGTTTGAGGGGGGTCCTTGTTATAGTTATAGTAGACTGGGCCCCAAGACCCTATTCTAATTATTAAGGCCCCCTATATTCTGCTGTCTTGTCTGATCCCGCGGAGTACTACCCCAAACCCCAAACCCCAAAACTCTAACCCCAAAACCCTAAACCCTAGGCCCCTAAACCCTAAACCCCAAAACCCAAAACCCCAAACCCTAAGCCCCAAATCCCCAAAACCCTAAAACCCTAAACCCTAAACCCTATAACCTTAAGCCCCAAAACCCTAAACCCCAAAACCCTAAACCCGAAGGATTCCCAGAGCTTCGGGTGCTTGAAAGGTTCACCGCCCCGGAACAGCACAATGAGATCCACTGCTACGAGGGAGGCGAGAACTGCAAGGTCTCGGCGAAAGGCGATTTCGGGGTTTAGGGGTTTAGGGGGTTTGGGGTTTTGGGGTTTTGGGGTTTTGGGGTTTGGGGTTTTGGGGTTTAGGGTTTAGGGTGTTTTGGGGTTTTGGGGGTTTTAGGGTTGTGGGGTTTTGGGGTTTTGGGATTTAGGGGTTTTGGGGTTTTGGGGTTTAGGGGTTTAGGGTTTAGGGGTTTAGGGGTTTCGGGGTTTAGGGGTTTTGGGTTGAAGGGTTTAGGGGATTTAGGGGTTATGGGGTTTAGGGGTTATGGGGTTGGGCTGTGATGAGTGCGTACTCGTATGTGGGGAAGTTTAGGGTTTGTAGGATTCGAGGTTTCGGGGAAATGAACTAAGCACTAAACCCCAAACGGAAACTTGCAGACTGAAGATCTTAGGGTTTAGGGTTTAGGGTTCTGAAGGTCCCCGGTTCGATCCCGGGTCTCGGCAAAAAAAAAAGCTTAAACTTGCTTGCGGCCGGCTTTTTTGAGTCCACAGGATCCTTTCAGCAAGGTCTTGGGTTCAAGGGCAGCTTCAATAGGTTTGCTTGAGGGTTTAGACTGCATACCCCTAAACCCTAATACCTAAACCCTAAACCCTAAACCCTAATTGAGGGCTTATGGGGCTTTGGTTGATGGGTTTCATAGGGTTTTTCATTTTTAGGCTCACCGGCTTTGGCGATCCGGGTTTCAGTTCTTGTGGATTGGGGTTTCAATGAAACGCTTCATGATTTGATTTAGATTCGGATTTCTGGGCATGTAACCAAATCTTGCAAGCCTCCAGGTCCCACCTCGAGGCTTCCACGCAAACCTTCATGGTTTGGGGTGTGGGAGTGCAAGACCTTTAGTAGAGTTCCTTGCTGTTTGCGTCTGCTTGACTTTTGTCGCCTTGAAACACCGTCGTGCCCTACACCGTGCAACTCAGACAGTACCCGTCAAGCGAAGAAATCCCAGGCCCTGAGCCCTCAACCCCAAAAGCCTTGTTCCCGAAAGCTCATTGCAGACGAATCCACTGCGTCTGCTCCAGCGACACGAAAGTCAGAGCTCTGGAAGCGCGACGAAGTTGAGCGAAGAGGACTGCCTAGCTGACTTGCAGTGGACCTTTAAACTGTTCAGGGCCTGTGCCGGTGTGTTTGAATGTCTATCTAAGAGCACGTGGCTGCCAGAGCAAGACCTCAAGTCCTCGAGCCCCAAACCTTATGGCCCAAACGACATTAAAGCTCGAACCAAGCAAATTTGCAAGCCTCCGTCCACAAAGGCCTACTCGTGCCTTGCTGGGTCCTGACCCTGAACTCCCAAGCCAGAGGATTCCAGTGGCGTGGGAACTCCTCAACTCCTTCATCGCACGAGTCTTTGGGATGAATTTCTCTGACGATCTAGAGTTTTGGGACCTATGCTGAGGCGGACGTTTTAAAGTACGCAACTTGGTCTGCGCGGCAGGCATATTTTGGCGTTTTAATACTTCGGACGCAGGCTCTCCGAAGACAAAGACGCTTCAGGGGAGTCGGACACCGCATTCATTCAGGGAAGCTAGTAAGTGCTGCCGATAAAGGAGCGTTGTCTGTATATCCTTGTGAGTCTTTTGAATCGAAAAGGCCTTATTGAATTAAGTAAGATTCTGCGAAAGACGGTTCTTGTCCTTCAGGCCCCTGCTGTTCGGGCATGGCAAGTAAGCATCAGCGACACATGTATGGGGGGGATATATATACATATATATATACATACATATACATATATATGTATATATATCGCGAGCATGTATCAAATTTTCGGACTTAGGGTCTGCATGCATGTATTTAAATATTTAGGTATCATACAAGCCCTTTGTAGTGTCAACCACCCAAAACGCCGAACCTGAACACTCAAGCCCGAGCCCTCAAGAGCAGGTCCCAACTTAGTATGGAAGCCTGATAATGACAGAAACACCCCCCTGGGAGTCCTTCACTATAAATACAGTGTACCATACGTTACCCACCCAGAACCCTATTCTGATGTCTCCTTCTGGAAGCCTCATTGGAATCCTTGCAGAACCCAAAGAGCACATAAAGCAATACTGTTCTCTTAGGCTTCTGTCCACACCGTCCAACGGCTTCCCGGAAACCTTTTCCTGGTGCGACAAGGCTTTCGGCGGGGGGGGGGGGGGGGGGGCATTCGAGTTTATGGGGTGTTGGGGTCTATGTTCGCTGAAGGGTTTGGAGTTTGCAGGGTTTCCGGGGTTTTGCGGCTAGGATCGGATGTCTAAGTCGAAGTCTCGCAAGCAGGTGGTAAGCAGTTCCTTGTGAAAGTGTTCGGGTGAGCTCTCTCTCTCTCTCTCACTCACTCGCTCTCTCTCTCGCTCTCTCTCTCTCTCTCTCTCTCTCTCTCTAGCGGTTTAGGGTGTAGGGTTTGCAGTCTTGCCGCATGGCCTTGAAGACAGCATTACGGTTTCAGCCTCCGGCTTCAGATTTAGCTCTTGACCCCGGGCCCCATAGTAGTTCCTTTTTGGGATTACCTAATAGGATTCTAAATATGAACCCCAAAAAGGAACTACTATGGGGCCTATGGGTTGCCCCGGGCCAGGATGGCAAGAGCTATTGCACCGTTTCCGTGAACCAGCACATCCCGCAGTACTGCGGCTCATGCTGGGCTCAGGCACGTCTCAAAGGGGGGGGCCACGCAGGCCTTGATTCGGGCCCTTTAAGGGGCGAGGGTTGAAATCGGATATAGGGCCTTCATTAGGATGGGGTTTGGGGTAGGTTATCATTATCACGAGTGATTGTCTGGATTGTCATTCCCGTCAGGGTCTTTAAGCAACGAGAGCTCATAGCTTCGACCTTTCTACGAGTTGTCAAACCTTGCGCAGGGCAGCATGTCGGCGCTGGCGGACCGCATCAAGATCGCTCGAAAAGCCCAAGGACCGGAACATGACACCCACGAGCCTCCGAAGAAAGGGGCTGAGGGGGCTTAGGGTTCCGCGTTCAAAATTTCGGGTCGAAGGGCCGAAGGTTCAGGGCCTAAGGATTTAAAGATTTGGTTTAGGGCCAATGAGGCTTATGTGGCTAAGGTGTAGGCACCCCTTCGTTCCATACCGTTAAGCTGCAAGTCCTGAGCCCGAGGACTGCTGCGCAGCAATTCATTGGGGGATGTTCCGAAAGTTGGGTCTAGGGCTGAGGGTTTACGTAGGCCCCCTGAACCAGAAAGCTCATCATGCCGGGGGCGACCATGTGAGATAGGGGCCGAAAAAGTTACCATTACGAGTATGTCCAACACCCCGAGACCCTCTTCCAAGTATTTGGGGGTTTCCGACAATAGGGTACCCTGATAATGCCCTAATATAGTACCCTAAATAGTAGGATCCATATTATAAGGACCCCCAAATAAGGTACCCCCTATTTCGAAAGCTCCCATTTCAGGCCCCTTTTTGTTCGCACTTCCGGCAGGCATCGACATCCAGCTCTCCGTACAGCACTTGATGAACTGCGGAACCGCCGGCACCTGCCAAGGCGGAACTCATTTTTGGGGTTTAGGGGAAGCCCACACAAAGCAAGGACCCCGTAGTTGCGCTATGGAACCTGAGGAACATAGAGACATAGAGCCCTTCAGTCGGTCGAGCCCTAAATCGCACTCCCCCCCTCCCCGGATAGCTCCGTGCTTCTAAGGCTTGCCCTGAAAACCCCAAGGCTCTCCCGCAATTGGTGGCCAGGGCCTGTAAGGTTCAAGTATGGGCCTTGATCTACGATGTTGGCTGCCGTAAGGATTTAGTTTTGCAAGTGGTTTAGGGTCGTGTTGCAGGCCCGATATGGGTGGTTTCCTAAATTAGGTTCCTTTTTAGGGTCCTTTTTATAAGGGTGCCGCCCTATATTGGGGGCCTAAAAAGGGATCCTAGTTTAGAGAACAACCCATATAGTGACAAATGCACGAAGCCCGAAGGCCCGCATGGAGACTCTGTGCACCCCATACCCTACCACCACTAACCCTACGGGTCCAAGTAGTCCTTATTTATGGCTTTAGGCAACCAAAAAGGCCCCAAAGTCCGTAATAATGGGTATTTGGACCCTTAGGGTAAGCCTTCCCTCAGAACCATCTGCTGAGCCCCAAACTCCCGCGACGAAGGACCTCCTTTCGCTATACACGAAACCCGAATACAGGGGCCTCAATGATTCGAAGAAGGGTTTTGGGGTAGATTATACTATATGTAGCTGTAATAAGGAACCCCCAAGAGAGTATTGGTAGTTATTTTAGGCCCCTATGTTGAGCCCTAAACCTCTTTACGCCGAAGCCTTTGCCTTAGGTGGGGAGCCCAACGCGGCCTACCAGTGGATCAAAGAGATCAGCGACAAAACCGGCAGTGGCCGAAGGGCCGCAGAGAGATTCTTTCCGATTCAGTGTATTTTTCTGGGAATTGCTTAGGGTTTAGGGTTTAGGGTTTAGGGTCAGTTTCCATTTTTTTATCAAACATGAGTTAGTATGGTTGCTATCCAGTCTACTATGACCTCCGTGGATGTGCGCATGGGAGGGAGCCTGAAGCCATTACAAGCCCTGGGCCCCAGACTGGCCCTGAACCCTAAACCCTAAACCCTAAACCCTAAACCCTAAACCCTAAACCCTAAACCCTAAACCCTAAACCCTAAACCCTAACCGTGGACACCGTGGCCCGAGGCATCAGCTACACCACCGGCCGCTTGGCCCAATGCGGTCTTACCAGACGGTCACGGGGAGCCCAGCTATACACAGAGGCATCCTCCGTAGCATAGTGGGCCAAGTATAGATCCTATCCTACTCGGATGGGATCTGCAAGTCTTGGCCTGCAAGGTTCGTAGTGCCATTTTGCCGAGACACTGGAACGAATAGTGAACCTACAGATCGAGTGAGTATAAGTGCAATGCCTAGCACCGACGGTGTAGCATGTCTCCGAGCGCGAAGCCCGAAATGCATCTCTTTCAAAACTCAGGGCCCTGAACCCTTTCGATTCCTAGGGAGATCTATATGTCGTTATAATCCCGAAGTCCTGCAACAAAACCTGCGCCTCCATCCGAAACCCGAAGGCCTCGCTACAGCTGAGGTCAGCCCTATCTTGCTTGCTCCAAGGATTTGGATGCGGGCTTTTGCAAGGCACGGCTTCCCCTCGGGTGGTGAATACTGTTGTTGCGGTTCTGGGTTTAGGGTTCGGGGTTTAGAGTTTCAGGTTTTGGGGTTTAGGATTCAGGGTTTAGAGTTTCAGGTTTCAGGGTTTAGGGTTTAGTTTAGGGGTTTTGCGAGTTTCACCAGAAAGTCGAACTTCGGCAGTTGTAAGCACAGCTCCGTAGCGACTGCTAACGACCTTGCACCCCGGAAAACACCCGATTCCTTCTGGTTGCTTCCATCAATGGCCTTGTTTGTAGATCGAACCCGAATCGAATCATGTTTTCCACGAACACCCAGGTCTATGCCTTAACCTTTTCGCCCAGAGGTTCTAAACCCCATTAATATAGAAGCCTAAAGGAATTACTTATAATATTCCTTAGGGTTCGTTTGCATGGTTATACTATGCAAAAGGAGCCTTACTCCAATTATTAAGGCCCCTATCCTAGACCCCGAACTACCCTCTAATAGACCCTAAAAACCCCACTATTAAGGGCCACAAGGGCTCCATTAAATGGAATTAGTATTATTGCTATTACAGTATGATTCTGATAATAGTAATGATTATTATTATTGTTATTATTAAGACCCCTATTGTATCCTCACACGGGAGGGTGTGGACTTCAGTTGCACGGCCGAGAACGTGCAGCGCACCTGTGCGACCTTTGGGAAGAAGTGCGTCGGCAGCTGGTCGGCGAGTGTATACCCATAGGCCCTATAGTAGTTCCTTTTTGGGGTTCATATTTAGAATCCTACTAAGTGATCGCAAAAGGAACTCCTATCGGGCCTATGGGTAGAGTTCTACAAGATACTAGCAGGGGTAAGAGTTTGAGGTTTAAGGGTTTAGAGTTCAGGGCTTGGGGGCTTAGAGCTACGGTTTTAGCGTCCGAGCCCTAGAGCGCCGAAACACTTCAAGCCGCCCCTGCAGCTCCTTTCGGGAGTTGAGGCATGGCAAAGTACCCCAACGCCACCGTCGCGGAGTACGGCCACCAGGATGGAGATAAACCCTAAAGCCTAAACCCTAAACCGGAAAATGTGTCAAATAAGAAGCCTAAACCCTCAACCTTTATGGTCTCTACGTTCTTTGCGGCTTCGAGGCTCGGCGGTCCTTCCTCCCTAAGCCCTACATGCAAAGTTCAGATTTGGGATTGAAGGGCATGGGCGGCCTAGGGTTTGGGGTTTGGGGCAGGCCTCCTCTTTAGACGTCTTTAGGTTTTCGGAGCGGGGCTTCTCGATCAAAGAGGAATTTGGCCATAGTCGAGGTTCGAGGACTTGGGGTTTGAGTTTCAGGAGCACAGGGTGCTCCAACAGCTAGTTGTCCTTCCTCGAAAATCCCTATGATTGGAACGCTGAAACTTCTTCACATGCCCTAAGATCTGATTCTGCCGACCGTATAGAGTCAGTAGTTGTTTCGGCACCTTTTTTTTCGCAGCTGCGTGCCGGAAAGAAGATGACCAGAGATGCCCAGGCCCCTTCATTTTCTGTGAGTAGCCCTAACCCGCCAGGTACCTGCTATATAGGGTAATAGAGCCCCTNNTAGGTACCTGGAGGGTTAGGGGTAGCAGATTGCAGTTCACGGTGGCTTGACTTCAATCCCAAAGCACTCCACGGTAGGAGTCGACTTGGGTGAGTAGAGCTTTATGGTGGGAGCAGCTCGATTGCCGTAAGCCTGAATACTAAGTCTAGAGTCTAGAGTCTAAACTCTGCATCCAGAATCGCGACCCTGTAGTCCCTCACTTCACTAGACCTGTTGAAGCCGCTCGAAGTCCTTAAATTCAGTCACTTTATCTCAAAGAAGGGGTCGATAAGTCATCTCGACTTGAGCTTCCCAGCAAGGCTCCATTCAGGGCAAGGACGCCATGATGAAGGAGACCGGGTTCGTGCTGAGGAACTTAATTCAAGTGACCAAAATACGGATGTACGGTAGACAGACAGACAGACAGACAGA